GTGTGTGTGTGTGTGTGCGCGCGCGCGTGGGGGTGGGTGGGGGTTGAGTGAATTTTCTACTTTTCATTTAGTAAATAGATTTCGTCTAGCTAATTCTGGCTATTCTACGGTAGCACCACATCTCAAACACCTACGGTATTGGTTAAACGCCTCTTTCAATATCGTGCTTTTATCTGAGAGCAGTTACCTTTAGACTTGACGTCTATCTCCGATAGGACCAAGTCGAGCGGTGAACAAAACCTAGTTAGCTCCCCCATATAACATAAGTTCACTACAACCCAGCTGGGGATTCGAAGCTAGTCGGTACACCTGCACCGTCATTTGACAAAGCTATCATGAGCCCGTCTGAACCTTGCCAAAGTAGATTAAGTGCTGAGGGTAAATAAATCTACCTGCTGAAAATCTCCCACACTGGCTTTTTTATCTCCACTTTTGGAGCCAATAGTCTTCTTTCGGAACCAAGCGAGCGTCAATTCTGTTTTCATCCGCACACACTTTACCATTGAGATTGCTCGCTTAGTCGGGGCACCGTTTTTGTTAACGCTTGGATACACCTGACCTGTGACAAGGCTTGACTGTTCAAAACAAGAACACATACGGCCCACCCCACAACGAGGGTCCCCATCTCAACACCTCGAGAACATTTATTTCAACTGCAGGTTGTTGGATTTTTTTTTTTTTTTGCGCGTCACTTGTATTCAGGAATGTCGGATTGTGTATGACGTCTCACCGACATTCGGTGCACGTTGTTAAAAAAAACAACAAAACAACAACGATGGTGATTGCAAAACCCTGAAGAGGAGGATGTGAGAGAGATATCCGGCAACAGAGACTCATGAACATTTTAAGTATACACCGCTCCCCCCAGTCTCATCCTTAATCCCATTCAAACCGTTTTTGAAACAGTAGCAATCTATAAAAGGACGTATGCTATTGTCACCTGTTTGCACAACCTGCATTGTCATGTGCTGAAAGACGTTGACATTCCACCTGTGGTAAGATCTTTTGCCTGTATTCTTTGTTTAAAGGTTTCTCGTGCATTACAGAATTGTAGACCATGTATTCACGTCTACACGTACACACACACATACACACACATACACACACAGACACACACAAACTCACACACACACACACACACACACACGCATACACACACACA